TAGATAGCCCTGGAGATTAAGGGTCCTGCCCGGAGGGGCTTATGATAAGAGGGGATACGTCGAATGTTTGCTGAATATATTAAACAAAGGGCATAGAATTTCGGTGCACTTGGAAACATATTGAACCTGTTAGGTATTTAGACAAATGAAATGTTAAAAAAGTATTGAAATGGTTTGCACTGTTTAAGTAAAAGTATTGAAATGGTTTGCACTATAACAATAGGAAGAACCCAGCTATTGGATAGAGGGAAATCTTCAGCTCCAAGAATGGAACCACCCCGACAACTCCGGACCACGGACGAATAACCACTTGGAGGGTCGTAACAAACAAACGAAATTAGTGTCCAAATACCATCCTAACATTTTAGAAGCCTTGTACTACATCAGCAGCACCCACAACTCAGAAAAAACAAAGAGGAGAAGAAAATACATAGAGATCGACAACCGCCTGGCATCGTTAAAGCGTGACCTTGCTGCTGGAACCATAGACATTGTATCAGCTTCAGCTTCACATGCCATACATCAAGATTTAGAAAATTAATTTTGGTGTATTTAGTGATTGTATATATGTATCTCAAAGTCAAACGCAAATATATCTATTTATCTATGACTGTAAAATGATAATGATATATAAAATTGTAAATAAAAATAAAAAATACCACAATTTTGTGTTCAGTGATGTGTGTAATCCGGACTAACAGCTTATAACAACATGCGACATGGTCTATTGTACCGCTTAGCCTTTATTTGCCAAAATCTCACGAAGTCGCCCAGGGGGATTAACTTTCCCTTGTCCAGTCATTGGAAAGTCGACTACGTCTGCATAAACCGATTTCAATACCCTGTGCAGTACGCGTACAAGTTCTACTGTTGTATCACAAGGCTACATTCACAGTGTAATCGTGGTATTCATTGTACATGAATGGAGACTTTTGTCATGGCACGCCACGCGTTAACGGCGTAATAGATCAATAAAACTCCTAATTAGTGCAATAAAGCGATGAAATAGTTTTCGCAGAAATCCGCTGATAATCGCGTATTATTCGAGAATTATTTGCAAATTATTTGCAACTCATCCGCGGATTATTCGCAGTGTTACTGCAGAGCACGATAACAACCTTTTGCGGTGTAGTGTAAAACACGTGAAAACAGTGCACCTTGTCACCATTCTCCTATTACTAATGTTAGTTTAAACGCTAATCCAGGAATCGCAGTAAGTTAGTAAACACCACACTTAACAGCCTTGGCTCGGGTGAAAGACTGGCATCACCTGATGCCATCAATCATTCGTGAACATACTGCTTTATACATGCACAAAATTAGACACTAGCAAAGTTCAACCTGAGAAGAGTTCACTTAATTTATGCTACAGATTATAACTCGAGATGAGTGAATAAAATCCCCTACAACAACATTCAGACCGAGAGCACACTGAAATTGTTTGATAGGCGTTGCTAATTGGTGTATATTCTGCTCTTAGACGTGTCTCACGCTGTGCGAGTTCAACTTGTAATTGCTTACTTAAGCCTTGGTGATTATTGTCTAGTGTTAATACATCCTTAAACTTCACTTTGGTTTATCTTTGTCAATGCGCTTTATGACAATATTGTACAGGTATTGTAGATTCACGCAATCTCATTAAAATCATATCTTAGTTCTCGCCACCGGTAAACATAGATCTCAGGACATCTCATTTACGGGTCATGTCAGACCGACCTTGCGCGTACTTTGACCGACCAATGAAATGACTGAAAAGAAGTCAACATTAGCCAACAGAAGGCAGCTTTATCGTGCTTTACGGCACTAATTTCAAATTGGCGACTACGCTTCGAAACATATTTTGACAAATTCTTGATAAAAAAAATTGAAACCTGAACAAAAGAACATTCTGGAATGGTCTAGATTGTATGGATTCAGTCGTTGAGCCCGTAACTATCGTTCGGAATACCCTGTGTTAACGTTTTCGAGGTTGCATGATTAGCAATCACATTCCGACTGTCACTTTCATGATCTGGTAAGCGATGCTCTGATTGGTAGGATGAAAGGTCGTTCTGACTTGACCCCTAATGGGATGTCCTCAGATCTTTGTTTAGCGGTAGCGAGAACTAAGATCTGATTTTAATGAGATTGAGATTCACGTGGAGGAGGAATAGAGAGGTTGGCACGCGAATGTGGTTTTTGGTATGGTATATATCCTGTATGAGGAATAAACATTGTATTCATTGCGAGCCTTGGCGACTGTTCCTGCAGTAAATATCATTATTAGTAGTATACTGACCAGCCTGCAATCAAAACTTTCGTGATATTGTTCCTGGGATGAACTCGTAGCTACTAGCCGAGTGTGGACCACAGCCTACATCAATATCTACATCAACAAATAATTTTTTAATGACACGGGCTAAGTGACACTTTCTCACCCGGCTGACTGTTCCCACGTATCTATAGTATCAGTAAATACATGTACATATCATTTCAAGCAAAACCCACTCTGCTCTTGACAATTAATATTTATGAAAACGAATGTAAAGCGGGATTTAGTTTGTGCCTTCGTTGTATAGGCCGAACCCTCTAATTTATTGTGTTTGTTTTATCTTCCGGTACGTTCCAACACTTTGATTTCTCATGTCCGTTTGTGCAGCGTACACGTCAACTTCCTACAAGTGAATCAGTGATGTGAATCTAATGTAGCCCCAGGTGTGTGTTCGAGGATTGCTCTAAATATGTATGTGGTATCAAGCAGTAATATAAACCGACCGCCAGAAATAACACGCTGGCTCCTTTCCTCTGCGACTAATGCCGCTATCACACTAATCAGAGGGTCAACCAATGTCACTGCTACACTGTTATTCTATCAGTCAATTATTTAGAATAGCTTATTCCCTGCAGGTTTCTGTTGGGGTTGGAAAATAATTTTATTGCGCGGAGGTGGACCTTGTCTACAGAATGCCGTGCTTCACATGATTAACTGATTACTTCCCAGCTGCCTGCCCGACTTGAACCTCTCTCGGGATTTGCCACGTCCATGCCGTCCAGCATCAATAACTTGTTCACCCCCACTTGTCAGCCAATTTGTATCTCTGTTATTTTAATCATGTTTCATAATGCAAAATGTAGCGATTGATTGGCAAACAATGTCAGTTGCTTCTCAAGTATACTCTATGAGTTTTTAGTGAATATCTTCAAAATTCGAAATCACACTTTCAGTCAAGTACATTCTCAAATATCATGTTACATGACTGTATGACTTATCACATCGCTGTGTGTATGACATGTCACATCGCTGTGTGTATGACATGTCACATCGCTGTGTCTATGACATGTCACATTGCTGTGTGTATGACATGTCACATCGCTGTGTGTATGACATGTCACATCGCTGTGAGTATGACTTGTCACATCGCTGTGTGCATGACATGTCACATCGCTGTGTCTATGACATGTCACATCGCTATGTCTATGACTTGTCACATGACTGTGTGTTTGACATGTCACATCTCTGTGTCTATGACATGTCACATTGCTGTGTGCATGACATGTCACATCGCTGTTCCTATGACATGTCACATCGCTGTGTGTATGACTTGTCACATCGCTGTGTGTATGACTTGTCACATGACTGTATGACTTGTCTCATCGCTGTGTGTATGACTTGTCACATGACTGTATGACTTGTCTCATCGCTGTGTGTATGACTTGTCACATGACTGTATGACTTGTCTCATCCCTGTGTGTATGACTTGTCACATGACTGTATGACTTGTCTCATCGCTGTGTGTATGACTTGTCACATGACTGTATGACTTGTCTCATCGCTGTGTGTATGACTTGTCACATGACTGTATGACTTGTCTCATCCCTGTGTGTATGACTTGTCACATGACTGTATGACTTGTCTCATCGCTGTGTGTATGACTTGTCACATGACTGTATGACTTGTCTGATCGCTGTGTGTATGACTTGTCACATGACTGTATGACTTGTCTGATCGCTGTGTGTATGACTTGTCACATGACTGTATGACTTGTCTCATCGCTGTGTGTAAGACTTGTCACATGACTGTACGACTTGTCACATCGCTGTGTGTATGACTTGTCTCATCGCTGTGTGTATGACTTGTCACATGACTGTATGACTTGTCTCATCGCTGTGTGTATGACTTGTCACATGACTGTATTACTTGTCTCATCGCTGTGTGGAAGACTTGTCACATGACTGTATGACTTGTCTCATCGCTGTGTGTATGACTTGTCACATGACTGTATGACTTGTCTCATCGCTGTGTGTATGACTTGTCACATGACTGTATGACTTGTCTCATCCCTGTGTGTATGACTTGTCACATGACTGTATGACTTGTCTCATCGCTGTGTGTATGACTTGTCACATGACTGTATGACTTGTCTCATCGCTGTGTGTATGACTTGTCACATGACTGTATGACTTGTGTCATCGCTGTGTGTATGACTTGTCACATGACTGTATGACTTGTCTCATCGCTGTGTGTATGACTTGTCACATGACTGTATGACTTGTCTCATCCCTGTGTGTATGACTTGTCACATGACTGTATGACTTGTCTCATCCCTGTGTGTATGACTTGTCACATGACTGTATGACTTGTCTGATCGCTGTGTGTATGACTTGTCACATGACTGTGTCTGACTTGTCACCTGGCTAATAACTTTTCACTTGGCTGTGTTTATGACTTGCCACCTGACTGTATGTAAGGGTAAGTGAGTGTGTTTGAGGGCAGTATTTCAGTAATATCACGGCGTGTGAAATTGTGGGAAGAAAACCCGATGTGATGTAGGTCTCAGACGTTTACCTCTTTGGTAAAACCAATGAACACGACTGTCATCATCATGGAAATATGTTAGGATATTGCACAATTAAATATATGTTCAATAGATATATAAACGTTATGTACTTTATTGACATTATCACATGACTCTGTTTTACATACTTCTACATGTATTCATTAGCACATCCACCATGCAAGTCATACAAACCATCACACATGGTGAGCATCAGCCAGCTCTTGTCTCAGCAAACATGTTTCAGAAGCCAACAGATATACACACATATATGTAAGTTAAACTTAGCAATGTCAGTGCATGTACCTTCACAATAACTATTTGTTCAAAACTGCACAAAACAAAAAGCACTAAGTATCACAGTAGTTTAATAGCGCCTCACACGCACAGTGCAGCCATACCGATCATTATTGATGGGTTTTAGGTTTAAGTGTTACGTACAAGTGAAAAACATAACTGCGTGTTGTTTTTGTACCATATCTGTAACATGTACGTTTAATGAATATGACAGACAGGTTACAGCCGTTGCTTCAATGGCTGTCAGCGTTCAAACGTATATCTGCCAGTCACTTGATTTTCATTATGATAAAATACAATTCGTATATGTGAATTATGTACAAAGTGTAAAAATAACAATATATTCTTCGTCTGTTCATAACTAACCTGTACAAAAAAATACCAAAATACTCTTTCTGAAATCATTCGTCACGTTGTCCATTTTGCCAATATAAAGAACATCTGTCAGATGCTTGTCGGGCCAATACCGGGAACAGACTATGTTCAGGTCAACAATACATGTGGTTCAACAACTGAACAACCAAATCCTGTAGCAGGTATATCCTGCAGTATCCTCTGTTTCCCCTTATAGTCAGTCACACAGGAGTTCCCTAACAAGGTTTCCGCCACTGTGTCGGGATGGCGCCGGTCATATCATCATCATCATCATCATCATCATACCTTGCTGTCTCACCAGTCCAGTCGGCTGCAGGGTTATGCCTGATTAGGATGTTTCCCTGTGGATATATATAAGAAGGTTTGTTTGTTTGTTTGTCGCCGCACTCAGCAATATTACATCCATATGCAGCGGTCTGTACATAATCGAGTCTGGACCAGACAATGCAATGAGCATCGATCCCCGCAATTGGGGGACGATGACATGCATCAGCCATGTCAGCGAGCCTGACCACCCGATCCCGTAAGAATGACAATAACAAAATAGTGTAGCTTCGCGAGGCTGCCAGGACACTTGTCCTTATCTAACAACTTATTTGTATACTTTCTTTGGACGTTTCCATTTATGACTGATGTTGAAGATCACATTCACCGTTGTCATAAAGGTTTTGACAATAATTAATACACATAACATGGGGTGTTGATCTCAATATAAACACAACTTCATAAACGCTTTGTAAACCATGTGACGTTGATTTATCCATTGCTTTTTATTTGGTTTCCAAGTTACATTTCATCAGCTGGGATGGGCTGTGAATTCTTCTTCTTGATTACTCAATAGTATAACTAAATATGATTTTATAGAATGCATTTTGGAAAACTGATATTGAAATAACGACATCAAAGAGAATTGATGCTTGATACAGAGGGAAAGAGAAATGTTCTTGACTCAACTTAAAGACCAATGCTAAAAAAATTGACTATTCGAAGTAGGATCTCTACTACTATAAATATTATATCTGAGGCTTGATTCACATTAATGGCATGGTCCTCAGATGCCTATGCGGGAGTCTGACACATATTAAAGATTATTATTTACATATCAATACTGAATGAAGAAATATTAATGGCTGCAACGGTGTTTCATTTTTTAAACATATTGAACTACATTCAAATTTACCACCGATGTCATTCGCCGACTGTAGGTCACAGTATGCAACGGGCATATATTTCTTGATACACCATCTGTTTACACGTGTGTACAATACCATACTTGTCCTAGTTAACATGATTGTTGCAGATGAGCGTGTATTCCGATGACATTTTCTGACAAAAGAAGTACGTTTCTCGACTTCATAAGATAGAGGTATATGTGTGAACCAGGGCTGTACTATGTAGTGTACATTGAAGTAACAAGACATGGCTTACACAAGTCAACGAATTAGTTAACTGACATTGACCAAAGCAAATATGACCAGCTACTTACGACAAGCACATTGCTCCGGACAAGACTGTCTAAGAAGTTCCGCCATATCTGGATGGGAACAGTCATCCCGACCGACCGTAGCACAATAATCATAGTCAGCGTACAGCTCCGGATTCCGACACTCCTCTGTGGAAGAAAACCTTCCAAATGCAGGAATTGCATTGATGTTTTATTTGCTTGTTTGTTGTTTAACGCCACAATCAGCAATGTTCCATCTGCACAACGGTGGTTTGTAAATAATCTAATCTTGACGAGACAACCCAGTGACTGATATCTCGAGCATCGATCTAGGCAAATGGGACACGATGACATGCATCAACCTAGTCAGTGAGGCTGACCTCCCGATCCCGTTAGTCGCCTCTTACGACAAGCATAGTCGACCCTAAAGACAAGCATGGAATGTTGTATTGATGTAACGGTGATAGCCACTTTTATATATTAATTCTAAAATAAACGTCAAAACTTTCGCATCACATTTTGTCTGCCTGGGATCAAAGGACGAAGACTACTCCATCTGACATCGCCAATGGCACAAACCTTGTAAATGTGATAAACCATAACAGTGAGAGTGAAGGCAATAATAGACTACTGCCAATATGATACACGATGAAGTAAACTAATCTTTGCAGTTTTGGAATCGTCAGTATTTTAATCGTTTCGTAAGATCTGATAGCGATTCAACCACAACATGCACGAGCTCAGTCTGAATGTGAAATCAAATGTGAAACATAAACATCCTTATACACTTAATTGCAATATACAATGTCAATATATTTTCTGAAATAATCCGTGTTTCTTACCTGTTAACAATGTCTGTGGAATAATTTAGCTTGACAATGCATCATCACTTAACGTCAATTGACTAACTTGTCTGTTCAAAATGACATAATATATATAATAGTAAGGAACATGTTCACAGTCCGTATGTCATGGGACCTTTCTTTCTCCTGCTGCAATTTTACCACTGTGGTTGGCCTTTAATTTTATCCGATTTATTTTCATATCTTTGCATATACCCATCATAAATAAGACTTGGTCAATTAACCTTGAGTTTATGGCTAAATATAGAAGTTGTTTTCTGAGAAACAGCCCATTAACAAAATCGAACCAATAGAGTACATTCAATTCTCATGTCAGGTACACATGTGGTATGTATGTCCAGGGAAAGGATGCGTGGAAGTTTGCACCCACAACGCTACATTACACTATTGTACTGGCTGTGTATTACATTAATCCATCAACATTTGTTCATACCTGATCATCACAGCTTGTGGTCAATATTAGCGATTGACATGTCTTTTGGGCTTGCTCTTAAGGATGTTTCAGTGATTAGATTTGTATCACCTCAGGTATTAATACATATACGTGTGTAACTCCATTCGATACTTACCACAGATACATGTGTTCACTGAATATGTTCGTTATGTTGTGTTACTACAGGGGCTTCTTGAAGCGAGAAAATAACATTACTAAGCACGAAAATGTCAGATACATTTTCAGACTAGCTGGTAACCCTTCCACTAAGCATTCGTACAATCCTGACTTCAGTACTTCATGTAGTCAGTGTGTGGTATATGGCAACTGTCTGAAACAACAGTGGCACTTACCATCACAATTTGGACCAAGACCATATGTACAACTGCAAGAACAGGTAGATCTTTTGAGAGTTCCATTGCCGATGTCCTCTCGGATGCACGTCTTCCGACAATCTGGGGAAATGGACAAATGCATAGAATAATCATGTTGTCAGAAAATACCTTCTTAGAACATGGCCAAGAATATTCCGTGTTTTTATTTATTCAAATAGTACCCGTGAAGATCCGGGTCAGAATAGGTCTTCAGCAACCCATGCATTCCGTAAAAGGCGACTATGCTTGTCGTAAGAGGCGACTAACGGGATCGGTTGGTTGATGCATGTCATCGTAGCACATTTGTGTGGATCGATTCTCATGATGTCAATCACTGGATTGTCCGGTCCAGACTTGATTATTTACAGACCTACGTCATATAGCTAGAATATTCCTGAGTGTAGCGTAAACCAACAAACCAACCAACAACCTTTATTTTAGTGCATTGAAATGAAAACGGGAAGAGTGAATCTATCACTGAATATTTCATAGAAAAATAATATATGACTCTAACTTACCACAAGTCCTGTAATCTGAATGCGAGCATGCAACTGAAGAAAGGTATTAGTTAGTATGCGAGCGATGTGAACAATAATAATGGGATTTTAAATTATTTGTGTAGCAGTGATGCGTAATATGATAAGATATGTTTCGATGCATTATGTCTATGTTATGTTATTTTTTAAAGTCACGTATAAGGTTTCGGTAAATATTGAAATATAGCTGTAACATTTATTAGTTATCCAGTTGCCATTTCCTTCTATGTTCTATGGTGACACTTACCACAAAGGTCACGATGACAGAACGATTGAGTGTCCCGGCATCGAGTACATGGTGTGCCCGCTTTGTACTTGAAGGAATCTGGATCTCTGTGACAGGCAAATCAAATACATTTCATATTCTTTGGGGATAAAATACTCAAATTCGAGTGATATGTGTGTGGTGGAAAATTGTAAAGTCAAAGTGTCAGTTTGAGAATCTGATCAGCATGTGGCGTTGTGGAGACATACGCTGTTTTTTTGCGGCTATGTGTGTTACTGTGAGGGATATCTTCAGTCTTAGCGGGTCCTTTGTAAAACCTTTGCGAATAGGTACAATAAACATTCAGCTTATATTTCCGGTGTAGCCCTTTGTGAACATCTGACTCTTAAAATCATTTTATTCAATCGTATATTGCTTTAATAATAATTGTGGTCGCATTCTATTTTGTGAACAGGAATGGGGAAAATTGTATCTAGTACTTAGGAAAACTACCCAAAGGATGTCTGTACAACAGCATAGGTTAGGTAAATGTTTCCGTGGGTGTATTAAGACACTACCTCAAAGCAGCAAGCTGTATTCTACTATCGACTATAAGGTACATTGAAACGTTTTCCAAATTTCAATGTGTTTTTCGAAATAACTGTGTTTTACACGATTATTTCGATTTCGCTTCGGCAAATCATTAGAAATATGCTACACAAACTACAAGCATATAAACAGAGGAAATGCGTATTTTGAAACTCCGAAAAGGCAAATGAATTCACTATGAAGAAAACTTTAAATGTAAAGAAAAAGAACCGAAAACTAATTCCGCGGCGGTAAAAATATCACCATCATAGTGAGAACATATTTACACCGGGGTTAGAATATTCGATTATTTGATTATTTTCTAAGCGTTGTGGAAAATATGACGATATATGTTTGGCAGAAAACTCGACGAATATAAACACAAAGGGAGTAGTATCAGATTCAGTACCACCAACACAGCTTGATTTGTGGTGCTACTCTATCACGTACAATGATCTCTTCTTTCAGGTCACAATGCGTGGATTTGACTGTTGAATATTGTGACGTTGAAGTGAGTGACTTTGGCTTTAACGCCGCATTGAACAGTCTTCCAGTTATATCACGGCGTGTAAGCTTAATGTAGGAGGCAAGACTAAGTGTTGCAGGTCTCAGACATTTACCACTTCGGTGAAACCCCCACGAGCACGGGTATGGTGCTGACAAACCTAGGAACATAATCGGGGCGATGTTCAAGTTTATTTTGTCATTTTGTCAATGACAACGTGGAGGTTGGATACTCATAAAATTTCTGAGATTCCTATACAATTTGGAAGATTCGATACTTATTTTTTTTCAAATCCGATACCGAATGAAATTTACAGTTTTCCAATCCCTGTCGGCTGACCATGGAATTTAATTACGCTTCTTCATGCAAACATAATGCTGTGTTGGAAGAACATCATGTTACCATTCTGCGAATAGTAACAGGGAATTTGAGACTTAATCCTTCTTCGTAAGCACATATAGAAGATCAGCATGTACACTTACCCCCCTTCGTATAAGCACATTAGAACATAGATAGGCTGCGATGTGCGCCGCGGACACATCTTCAAGCTGCACCCAACTCTCTCCCGATCCGCTCCCACCATCTACAATATCATACAGGATGGAAATATAGAACTTACACGATGGAAACATTGTCAGTGATGATTATTCCACTAAGTCACCTACCGACGTGCTGATATGTGTAAAAATGCATTGGTAGTCAAAATAAACACTTGTTAAAACCTTTTTGTAACATCTATATTTTCTATATTCATTCATACTGACACTGCACACAAATGTAATGCGCCGATGAAACGGTTAACTAGTAGCCAGCTATGTCGCATACGCTTTCACTTAATAATACATTTCCGACATAATAGAATCACGTACCGTATTGTGCGCTACCTAAGGAGGTTTCTGAAATGTCCGTCACCCCACTACCCAGCTACCACAATGGCTAGCACCTAGAATATCTTGAAATATACCCTTGTGTGCAACCCACATGGTGTATGTGGACCAGTGGTGTCTGTCCACACCTTTAGTCAGCAGGCAAAGCGTTGTTATATGCAATGACATCATTGTGAAGTCAAGAAACAACATCAGTTACAAAGGAATGTTTACTGTATGTTGTTCACTGTTAATGTTGTATTGTACACGGGTTTTTTTCAGCACACGGCCGATAATACACCAACTATTAGACGTCCACAATATTTATGTCAACATAATGGTGTTGTGGGGAAGTTCATTACAACTACGAAGTATCGTATGGACAAAAACGACATATCCAGTTTTATCCTAGACGTCTCCGTTTGTTTATAATAAATAACATAATAATACCAATTGTTAATTCATTGTCATTGTATGTTATTGACGCGTTAAATTATGTTTCCATTATTGAACGAGATAAAAACAGAACGCATAGTAGGCGTGAAACATAAAGCATACATTTCTATGTATTTCTTACACCCCCCGTAAAGGATTAATCAATGGCTTAACTAAATACACTCTCATTGCGTTTCTTCGTGACTTCAAGCTTAAGTACATGGTTGTCATTTTAACACATGAAAAACCAACATTAACTTAATATACTGAATTGCCATCGTAACTAACAAAATCACAAAAACTAAAATACGGCTTTGTACCTTGGCTGACTGCCTGTCACCGTGGCCAGCTGATCGTTCCTCGTCTTATCAGTCACTGCTTTCAAGATTCGAGTATTTACAGGCCCCCGATAAATGGGTGGAATGTTGCAGATTGCGACGTGATATAACAACATTCACTCGCTAAGTATTGCAATTAACTCACATCAAGTCATTGCAACGTGCACATGTTCGTTCGTTTATAATTAATATACTGCACAGAAACTGAAGGCAACAACATCTAGATGTTTTTATAAGACATCGGTAGCACTGCAGAACACAGCACAATAACATGAAACATTAATAACTACACCTCACTGAAGAAGGTAAGTGTGTATGCGAGTCGCAAGACTAAAACACGTATCCCATCACGATCTGTTCACACAATCATTAATCATAGATTGCAATCACGAAGGGCCATTATGTAATCCAGAACACACCTTAAACTGATGTGCAAACACATATTGATCCTCTCCTGAATTATTTCTAGAATTTTGTTTCATTCAGTGGCTTGTGCTAAAAATAGATGAAGTGGGATGGGAGGTTGTCGAATTGTATTTTATTTCGAGTATTCTATGTTAAGGCGACGTCCCTCGTGAACGTGGTTTCCGCTGAGGGCATGTCCTTGTTATCGATCAAGCAGGTGGCTCTTAAATCGGCCAGCAACCACTTCCGTGCTCGCTTGGTTTACATTAACAACATTTCCAAATCCTCTAATAGGCATCGAGGGAACTGTGAATAGTGACATGGATACGAGTGCGTGTGTACGAGAACCGCGTTCTTACACAAGGAAAATAATGCTTTACTGTTGCTTTATAACGCCAATAAACACTGCGCCATTCCTCGTCATAAGACCGAAAGACTACATAGCTGTACAAAATTGTTGTTTGTCATAACGACATATTCTGCTGTCGTCAGAAGCATCCTGTAGAGTGATTAATGAGGACATTGGTCACTCTATATATTTACTAACGCTTACGTTCACAGTGATTTACAATTTGACAAGGAATAAACAGTAATTATTGAGTCAAATTTATAGAACCACTGAAGAGTACATGACTAAACGATTTAGCCAAACAGATTATGAATAACAGATTTTGTTCAAACAAAAATAGTGATCACTCCAAAGATAACCTGTCATATACTATTACCTGATGGTCATACAATAGCAAAGAAAGAAGTATGAATGTGTTGTCCACTCACCGCGCGGTACCTGTTGCAGCTGTCCCAAGGTATACAGTCGGCAGCTTCTGGCACATAATGTCTGCTTTCCCGATGCCAGAATGTCAATATCTTGGTGACATTTAGCGCCCTATACCTTCCATAGTTAATCATTGGCATGAGGAAGTTGTCGTCATTGTGTACAACGTTTCTTGAACACGTCAGCATATTTTCAGCGTTTTGTTCCAAAGTCTGACTCCATACCTTCAATATTAAACCAAAAGTTTTTTTCTAATACCTCTTGCTTCTGTTTATGGATCATACATCATTTTCATTCAGTTAAGAATTATATGAGAGGTGTGTAAAAATATGGGTTTTGCATTTGACAATAGAAAACAGTTAAGTGCTTGCGTCTATCAGAATATAGGCGTGAATATGCAGGGAAGGTAATGTAAGCGTTAAAAATACTGAGTGTAGCCCATTATCTATTATCTAGTCATAATGCCCATTGTGAAGACCATTGTGTGTTTGGAGGTCAGATGTTATAATGTATGCTACAATGAAGAATAGCCTACGTCAGGTCTTGACTCCATGACTCAGACAATATAATTTTGCATTGTTGAAAAGAACGTGACTTCTTAGTTGATGCCGCTATTTAAGAATCTTGTATTCTGTACCTACGGTCTCGGAGCTATGTTAGACCATGATATTGATGTTGACCGGTAGGCAATTTAAATGCGAATTTTACTTAATAAACGTTGCGAAATACCTTCTAGTGGGTATTCAAGTATCTAAAGCAATATGATCATGACGGAGAGCCAGACGTATAACGACTAACGAAGGGTATTGAGAACTTGTATACATGACGCCATAATATATATATTTCATATATGGTTCATTTGAAATTAAATTGAAATGTATAGACTGTTTGGTTAAACTGACTATGTGCATTGCTAGGCCTATGAGTAGGTGGAACATATTAATGGACATGAGAATGCAAATACTCTGTTATACATCTTGAACGAGAGATGACTCTACAACGAACAGGGTGTTTTCATAAAATATATGAGATATCTCACCAGTTCATTCATGTTGGATATGTAAGGTCCATGTCCTCCTGTGGCGATGTCGTGCCGGAACCTGTTGTGTAGTGTAAGGATTTCTTCCCTTTGTAAACTGTTGAGCGACGTGCAGATTAAAGGCATCAGAACTGAAAGTTTACAGAAAACATACAGAGCCAAACAGACCGATTTCCATCGTGTGTTCCATGTTTCGAATAGGGATTCAAATATGCGTGTGAATGAAGCGAAGCCCTGACCTCGCTGTGTTTTCCAGATGTATTTGAGACTATATTGAATTACTTTAATAATTCGAAAAAAGTATAGTTCCCTCACACAGTCCATGTTTTTTACGACCGCTGGACATATGTTATGTTTAAAGTTTAAAACACATATATAATTATCATTGGTGTACACTAGCCGACTGCAAACAGTCGACACTTGTTTCTGTAAATGTTCATCCAAAGATCAACATATCGATATTGTGTTCGCTACAGAGTAGCCAAGCTATTAAAGCGTCGATATGCCTCGCCGAAGGCCAGTTATATTTCCCACATTGACACCGTGTGTGAAAACCTCAAGTCTGACAGTCTCAAGCATTCGTAAGCCAGAACAGTGTGTCTGATGAAGGCGGGGGCCGAAAGCTTTAGACTGTATATTTACGTATTATAATGTTTGTCACAAAGCCATGGTAACCGAAATGGTGTAAAAGGTGGCTTTAAATCCTCATCCACTCAATCGATTTAAACCCTAAATGCCATTGAATCATTCTTGCTTATGTATTTGACTGTTTTTGTTAATAAAAGTAATTCGCACCTATTTATTTTAAGTGAGGATCTATCATTTGCCCTCAACATAGATGTAAATAAAAACGTCAAAACCCTTTCCATATTCTTAAGAAATATCTACCCAATGCAGAGTCAATTGTACGTTTCCGACCAAATCACGAGCATGTGTTTATGAATCATTATCAAAAAGTGAATGGTACCAGGTGAGCGTATCCTGCCTCGCTGTTGGCACCCGTCGCAAACACATGCAAAGGCAAGTAAATTTTTTCACAAAAAAAACACGGGAACATATATTCAAAATAGGGAAATGAATAGGACACCATTTTTGTCACTGATGATTCAAATTTGGAAATGTCCTCCACATGTCTACCATAAAACCCTTTGAAAGCTTTACTGAGGGCTTGAATGTTGATCTTTGATCCATAGCTCTCAATATGAAACAGATGAGGCGGCCTCACTGGTCTCCTTTATTTCTAATTAAGGTGGGTCGATCAGTGGAAGGGACTATCTTTTTGTGGTTATTGAACGATATTGTTTTTCTGAGTAATCGTAAGATGACTTTTGATTTCATTTTTGACAAATTGACCTGAACCACTGAAGATAGATATTTAACTATATCTATGGCCACCATGTTTTATAGCAAAGCCCCATGGATCAAGGAATGAAGTTTTCGCTGAAGTTTGTCATGTGGGATAGTAGTGTACAAAGTTGAAAAATCAAATGTTTTGACAGAACTGAACTTGGTTCTTTTCTTAGATTGTAAAATCTCAAGCAAATCCTTTGCGCTTTTTGAGAATCCACATGGTATTAATTCCATTTGTCTCAAATACTTTTTGTGAATACAAAGAAAGTCCTTCCTTGATTATGAAGTATTATTGTTAATCACTGAGACTGGGATTTGGTGGTACATTTGCTGTACCCAGCAACATCTCTCATGTAGGACAGCCAGACTTTGGATGACAGCAGGCTGGGACAGAAGGGGTTTATTCACCACGCACTGACTTCAATCACTCTGAAAGACATCCAAGAGGCCTCTCTTCTCTTTTGGTCCATTTTTCGGATATCTTGTCTCATAACATTTATTGTGGATGAAATTGACTTCCAAACATGTGATCTATAAACCTGTGATAGAAACAATCCTCCTGCAATTGGTTACAGTGAGGCTGAAAATGTCCTGAAAATGTGGAAAAAACTGACGTTCTTCTTCTTGACAACCTCATTGTTTCTGAGTCACATTCATTTCCGACAGTGCTGTTAGTCGTTTATTTCACGGTTGTTTGTTCTCAAATACATATGAAGAGGTATGGTAGGGACAGTTACAGACAAATTGTATCTACTGTGAGGAGAGCTAACATAAGTCTCACAAAGAAAACACCTGCTCAACAAAACGAATTGCCCCACCTTCAACCTTGAACACAAAATGCTACACGGGAAGAGAATTTTGAAACAATCGTTTTTAGTTACCTGAGAATTCGATTGTGATATAAGGCCGGATTTATTCTATCAAACCTTTCTAGTTAATCCATTGTTTGTCAACATGGCTCCAATTTATCAGTTCGCCTTCTTTTTTTGTGAGTTTTCGTCAGTCGCTGTTGTGAACACTATGTTTAAGCGTAGGAAATGTCATCGCTCTCATTAGTCCTCAGACTATAAATAAACTTAGTTAACTAAACTACGATACGTTTATTTTCAAATATATTTTTAGTAAATGGTTTAAACATGTATTGATACTTTACCACGTTGTGTGCTCTTACTGTATTATTGTGTTAAAATTGTGTCTTACAGGCATTTTAGGCCGGACGATTTATCATTTTGCAGTGATAATTGTTTTAATTCCAGAGTAACATATGCCGTGTGACACATTAAGACAATACTACTTTATCTTGTCTCATCATCTTAAACATCAAACACTAAACCGGTTGAGGGGTCCCCTTTGTCTATGCATCGCCGTGTGTTCAAGTTCACAATTTCCTATAGAATGCCCCCAGGTTCATTCGATTCACTGATTACTCACGTTTAAATTTTGAATTTCCCGATGTTCGAAGTCGATTTTGGCGAATCAGAAGGAACGCTTTGTGTCCTACTGTGTGGGTGATATGACAGATGAAGTGTCGGGTGAGTTATGATTTGGAGGGGAATAAGTTTGAAGTTTAAGGAATGGAACATTTAGGCCCGATATCGTTTACGGTATCCTTCATCCTGTGGTGAGACCATACGCTGGTGTCATCACATACAATCTTGGGATAAAAAAATATCTTAAGATTTTTCCTGCACATTCTTGGAATATTCTCCTCTTCAAAGATTGTACAAAGGTGGGTCGTGCTGCCAGTGGATGGGTTGTTACCAGTTCCTTGTCAAACGGGTATCCTCATAGCGCCTAGAGGGGCGGCCAAAGAGACAGGCGCTTGTGTCTGAGATTCTAGAATGTCCGTCATGAGTTATTCCTAGTTGGTAAGGGCCATTATACATCATCACATTACATAGAGGTGTATTATTCCTGTTTGTACATGTGTATTGGTCATTCTTAGTTGGTATGGTCCATTATACATCATCACATTACATATACATGTAGGTGTATTATTCCATGTTTGTACGTGTGAGTTGGTCATTCTTAGTTGGTTTGGGCCATTATACATCATCAAATTACATATAGGTGTATTATTCCATGTTTGTACATGTCAATTGGTCATTCTTAGTTGGTATGGGGCATTATACACCATCACATTACATATACATGTAGGTGTATTATTCCATGTTTGTACGTGTGAGTTGGTCATTCTTAGTTGGTATCGGCCATTATACATCATCACATTACGTATAGGTGTATTATTCCATGTTTGTACGTGTGGATTGGTCGTTCGTAGTTGGTATGGTCCATTATACATCATCACATTACATATAGGTGTATTATAACATGTTTGTACGTGTGAATTTGTCATTCTTAGTTGGTATGGGCCATTATACATCATCACATTACATATAGCTGTATTATTCCATGTTTGTACGTGTGCATTGGTCATTCTTAGTTGGTAGGGGCCATTATACATCATCACATTAGATATAGGTGTATAATAACATGTTTCTACGTGTGCATTGGTCATTCTTAGTTGATATGGGCCATTATACATCATCACATTACATATAGGTGTATTATAACATGTTTGTACGTGTGAATTGGTCATTCTTAGTTGGTATGGGCCATTATACATCATCACATTACATAGAGGTGTATTATTCCATGTTTGTACGTGTGAATTGGTCATTCTTAGTTGGTATGGGCCATTATACATCATCCATTACATATAGGTGTATTATTCCATGTTTGTACGTGTGCATTGGTCATTCTTAGTTAGTAGGGGCCATTATACATGATCACATTAGATATAGGTGTATTATAACATGTTTGTACGTGTGCATTGGTCATTCTTAGTTGATATGGGCCATTATACATCATCACATTACATATAGGTGTATTATAACATGTTTGTACGTGTTAATTGGTCATTCTTAGTTGATTTGGCCCATTATACATCCTCACATTATATATAGGTGTATTATTCCTGTTTGTACGTGTGAATTGGTCATTCTTAGTTGATATGGGCCATTATACATCATCACATTACATATAGGTGTATTATAACATGTTTGTACGTGTGAATTGGTCATTCTTAGTTGGTATGGGCCATTATACATCATCACATTACATAGAGGTGTATTATTCCATGTTTGTACGTGTGAATTGGTCATTCTTAGTTGGTATGGGCCATTATACATCATCCATTACATATAGGTGTATTATTCCATGTTTGTACGTGTGCATTGGTCATTCTTAGTTAGTAGGGGCCATTATACATGATCACATTAGATATAGGTGTATTATAACATGTTTGTACGTGTGCATTGGTCATTCTTAGTTGATATGGGCCATTATACATCATCACATTACATATAGGTGTATTATAACATGTTTGTACGTGTGAATTGGTCATTCGTAGTTGGTATGGGCCATTATACATCATCACATTACATATAGGTGTATTATAACATGTTTGTACGTGTTAATTGGTCATTCTTAGTTGATTTGGCCCATTATACATCCTCACATTATATATAGGTGTATTATTCCTGTTTGTACGTGTGAATTGGTCATTCTTAGTTGATATGGGCCATTATACATCATCTCATTACATATATGTGTATTATAACATGTTTGTACGTGTGCATTTGTCATTCTTAGTTGTTATGGGCCATTATACATCCTCACATTACATATAGGTGTACTATTCCATGTTTGTACGTGTGCATTGGTCATTCTTAGTTGATTTGGTCCATTATACATCATCACATTACATATAGGTGTACTA